CCGGGGGGGGGCAACTGGGGCAGCAGTGGGGCGTCCAGGCAGAAGGTAGGGGGTGAACGGGACCCCCCCCGGGGTGGGGGGGCCAACTCCATGGGGCCGAAGAAGTAGGGGTGCAGCAGAGCCTGCAGGAAACCAGTATCCACCAGTATGAACCAGTATGAACCAACAGCAACCAGTGCCCACCTGAGCCACCCCAGTGGGTTTTTGTGCCTCCACCCCCCAGTACGTCCCAGTGGACTCCCAGTTTGTCCCAGTGCTCTTTCCAGTACATCCCAGTACATCGCAATGCCTCCCAGCACCTCCAAATACATCCCAGTACGTCTCACCACACCCCACTGCCTCCCAGTGCCCCCCAAGTCCTTCCCAGCGCTTCCCAGTAAAACCCAGTGCTCCCCAGTAGCTCCACCCAGCCCATCTCAGCGCCTCTCAGCACATCCCAGTACTTCCCAGTAAAACCCAGTCCTCCACAGCAGCCCCTCCCAGCCCATCTCAGCACATCCCAGCAGCCCCCATTACCTCCCAGTATCCCTTCCAGTACATCCCAATGGCCACCAATACATCCCATTACCTCCCAGTATCCCCCCAGTACCTCCCAGTAAAACCCAGTCTTCCTCAGCAGCCCCTCCCAGCCCATCTCAGCAGCCCCCAGTACCTCCCAGTGTCCCCTCCAATACCTCCCATAAACCATCAATATGTCCCAGTACCTCCCAGTAAAACCCAGTGCTCCTCAGCAGCCCCTCCCAGTACCTCCCAGCAACCATCAATACACCCCAGTACCTCCCAGTGCCCCCCCCAGTGCATACCAGTGACCCTAAAGCCCACCCCAAAACCCCTCCCATGCACCGCAGGGTCTTGTGGGTACAACCCCCCACCCCAATACCACCAATCCCCTGCCCCCACCCCTCCACAGAACTCAGGGACCCCCCCAGAAGTTGGGGATAGCCCCCCCCAGAAGTCAGGGACCCCCACCTCGTGGGCACGGATGCGCTGACGTGAGGGGTAGACGAGGAAGCGGCCCAGGAGGTCAACAGCAGCGGGGGGGGCATCGGGGACCAACTCCTCCAGGGGGGGCGGCTCCCGAGCCCGGAACGAGATCTTGGGGTAATCGGGGAGCTGCGCCAGCTCCTGGGGGATTTGGGGAGAAAGGGGGGGTCAGAGGAAGCTCCATGAAGAGCTGGACCCCCCCCAGCGCTTCCCGTTGGATTTTGAAGCCCTTCCAGTATGTCCCAGTATACCCAAGTGGCGCCCCAGTGTCCACCAGTGCCCCCCCCCCAGTGCTCCCTGCTCTTCCAGACCCCCTCCCAGTGCTCCCAGACCCCACCCCCCCCCAAAGTGCTCCATGCCCTCACCCAGCACTCCCAGCCCTTCTCAGTTCTCCCAGTGCACCCTCCCAGTGCTCCCAGTTCCCTCAGTGCTCCCCCCCAGTGTTCCCAGCCCTCCCAGTGCCGATTCCCACCGCCCCCAGCCTTCCCAGTCCTCCTTCCCAGTGCCTCCAGCCACTCTCAGTTCTCCCACTGCTCCCCCCCCATTCTCCCAGTGCTCCCAGTCCTCCCTCCCAGTGCCTCAATCCTCCCTCCCACTCTTCTCCCAGTGCCTCCACCTGCTCTCAGTTTCCCCAGTGCTTCCCCCCAGTATTCCCAGTTCTCCCAGGGCACCCTCACACTGCCCCCAGCCCTTCCCAGTGCCCCCAGCCCTCCCAACGTCCCCTGCAGTGCCCCCAGTCCCCCCCAGTGCTCCCAGTCCTCCCA